TATCCATCAGTCATTCTAGCAAGTTGTGCTAGTTCTTTTTGAGTCAGTGGGCTTCCTTGTTTACATAACAGATTTTTCAGTAAAAGTAATCTTGTCTCCTCATTTGGAGAGGACACATATACCTGTTTGATAAAATGCCTGAGAACAGCCTCATCAAGCTCTTGTGGCCTGTTAGGTGCACCCATCACAAGTACTCTGTCATCTCTAGCAGACTGTACACCATCAAATTCTATGAGAAACTCAGTTTTGAGGCGTCTACTAGCATCATGTTTCCCTTCTCTTCTTTCACACAAAAGGCTATCAACTTCATCTATAAAAATTATAGAAGGTTGCAGTTCTCGAGCCACAGCAAAAAGAGCTCTCACTAATTTCTCTCCTTCTCCCACATATTTTGAAGTTAAACTTGCAGCACTTATATTAAAGAAGGTTCCATTAGATTGTGCAGCTACTGCTTTAGCCAGCATTGTCTTCCCATTCCCAGGTGGACCAAAGAGTAACAATCCTCTGGCAGGAACTCTAAGCCCTGTGAACACTGCTGTTCCATTGTCCACAATTTCATTCATTATGAGATTAGCAAGGTTGCTGTCCACATTCCTGAAATTCTTCAAGTCTTTCGTCTTATGACCAGCAGTTGTAGGGTTTATTTGTTCTATTTGTTTTTGGAGTGCCCTTATGAGGACCAGGTCCCTGACTCACTCCAGACACCATGGATAAGCCACTACTACTAGGTGCTCTGAAAGTCCTGTGGATCCAGTTTTCATAACTGTTTTTGAACGAGGAAGTGAATTACTAGTGTGTGTTAAGGGATCTTTTCGTTTTGGAGCAGCTCTACTTTCTGACTAGAGATGTCTGCTGCGGCACATCAAGTTAGTACTGTCATTATAAACATCAGTTTGTGACTTGGAAAATGGCAAAATTGGTTGCATCTTCTCTATAAGCTGTAAATGGTCCTTAGCCATACCAAATTAGTCGTCATTTTAGCTTGAAGGCGTCTAGCTCTTTCACACTGTTCACCTTGTCCTGTTACTATGACAGCAATTCCTTTTTCTAGTTCTTCCATACATTTCTTATACCATTCCACAGCTTGCTCCTTTTGTCCTGCTTTCTCATCCTTGTCAATGCGCAGGGCGACGGAGATGCACTCGGAGGCCTGCTTGTGGAAGGCGTGGATGTGCTCGGCCTCCCTGGCCACGGGGGCACGGGAGGCATGGGCACCCCTGCAGGCGACCATGAGGGCGCAGTCCCCGCGCTGGCCCAGCAACATGGCGAGCAGCCCCAGGTGCCAGGCTGCCCAGTGCAGCAGCGCCAGATCTGGAGCAGTGCAGAGGGGACGCGCCATGAGTTGTGCTTAGGTGGCAGCGCAGGCGCGGGCTGGCGGGGGTAGGGGTCGGGCGGAGGGGGGGGGGGCGCAGGGCGGCAGCTGCCGGGGCCTTTCTTCTTCCCTTGTTCGCCGAGGGAACTCATTCACGGCAGGCGCTGACACCGCTGCCATAACCCGCCTCTCGTGGACCCACGGGGGCGAGCGATGGCGGGGGCCACCGCGATGGTGTGGGCCCCAGGGCCGAGCACGCTGCTGGTTGCCAAAATCAGATCTTTCAAAGAACAAATGGTCTCCAGGAAATGCATGGCAAGCAGGGTTGTAACTGTCAACTTCAAAATGAGGGGATTTGGATAAGTTTGTGAATTGGTCACTCTTTCGCATTTCCAAGAAAACCATTCTCTGCTATTTGGCTTTCCCAAGCAAAAACTTGTCTTGCAGGTTTTTGGGGCTTGCTGATTGATCTCTCAAAGGGAATACTTTTAACTGCTACCAGCCCCCTTTCTGCCACACCAGCACTTTGGGAGGCTGAGGCGAGTGGATTGCCTGAGCCCACCGGTTCGAGAGCAGCCTGGGCAACTTGGCGAGACCTTGTCTCTACAATAGATAAAAAATTAGCTGGCCACAGTAGCGCGCGCCTGTAGTTCCAGCTACTTAGAAGGCTGAGGCGGAAGGATCACGGGAGCCTAGCAGGTCGATGCTGGAGTGGCCATGAGTGTGCCACAGCACTTCAGCCTGGGCGATGAAGTGAGACTCTAGGTCAAAAAAAAAAAAAAAAAGAAAAAGAAAGAATTTGGTGGGACACTAGTCATGGTGAAAGCTGGTCAGTTTCTGACCAGATTTAGCACAAATAACCAGATTCAAAACTAATACCATAGGTCCTAGCCTGTGTAAATACGAGGAGGGAACCCACAAAAACCTGGATTTATTTGTTTAAAAGTGTGTCTTTATTCTTACATGTTTAAACTTCAGTACTTCAAGTACTCTCCGTTTGATGGTTTTTTTCTCTATTCTTTTTTTTTTGAGTCGGAGTCTCACTCTGTCGCCCAGACTGGAGTGCAGTGGCCG